AAGAAAAAGAAAAAGAAAACTTTTCTTAGTGTTTCCCACTCTGCTCTCCTCACTTCAGAACTTTAAAGGACTCATCTTAGATCAAAGTCATTGGCCCCAATCATGAATGAAATTGTTCCAATACAATTTTAATAAAGTGTGCCAGGAGTCGTGGATGGAGGGAATCAGTATCAAAAGGCAATTATGAAAGAGTAGCTATTGCTTGGCTCTGTTTTTAGTAGCCGCTAACCTAAGCAGCCTGCGTGTGAAAGAGCTAGTGTGTAAGCTCTCTGTTGGTCCCTGATGCACCGTGTACGCTGTTCTGTTGGTCCCTGACGTACCGCCAGCCTCTACGCTGGATGTTGTGACTAGCAGTCCTTTGGACCCTGTCCCTCAAGCCAGGGTCAACACCACAGCAGCAGTGATGGCTTCCCCTCCTCCTCAACTGTTTCTAGTACTTTCTTGTTCCTACTTCTCCCATCTGAAGACAAAGGGAGGACTAGTCTCTGAGAGAACAGTCTTCAGGTTGTGACATATCAGGTAGCTAATGGATGTAATAAGCAATGGCTCACCCGAAAATATTTTATTTCAGTATCTCTTACGTTCATCTTACTAGCATTCCCCTGATTCTGTAATTTTCTAACATCTAATTTTATTGAGTGCCATGATTCTCCAAGGGTCTGTCAGTGAGCTTGCTATCTGTTGAAGATATAATTTGGGGAGATATTCAACCCAATATATGACTATTATCTAAGAGTACCAGGAGCTGTGCCCATTGTTTACAGTGTGTTTCTGTATGACTGATGGCTTTTGCCTTATCTCTTAACTGGCACGTAGCTATGAAAGCCAGTGTGAAATTCGACATCGTTCATACATTATGTAATGACTAAGGCAGGAAGTTTTATTCCCATTAAAGACTGTGGTTAGAATCCTCTCTTCCGGCTGCTTTGAAGGGTACAGTACCTTATTGTTAGCGCTCCTCCTCACTGTGCGGTAGAGGGCATCATTTATTACCCTTCTGTTGAGTGACTTTGTACCTGTGAGCCAGCCTCTCCTACCTCATAGGTTTATCAGTGCTGGCCTCCAGTGGAGTGCTCCACCCCACCCCCCACAAGTAGCCCTTCAGAATTCGAAACAAATAAGACGAGTCCCAGGGGATAGAACAAAGTGTGTGCTTGTGAAATAAGCTTTCCTGATAGTGGGATAGGACTTCTCAAAGTCTGTTTGATCAACAGTACTGTGAAAGCCAAGTGCAATGGAATATGATAGGACCTGGCCTCCTGAGGAGCTGTGTATGGGTAATGACAAAATGCCAAGTTTTCTTTGGGCATTCCATGGTAGCTCTTACTTGGGCTTTGCGTACTTTACCTATGCATTACAAGATTTATCCTAGCAGTCTAGTACCTAGGAGCAATCAGTGTTTTAACATCAAACTTACGGAATAATATGAACATTATACAGCTTCAAAGAGGATTCGAAGAACAGGGCCATCGTGTCCCCTACCGGGAAGGTTACTGGCTACACTTTCTACCTATTAGTGTGCCTGTCCTAGCCTGCTTAAAGAAGCACAATGCATCAAATGCCCACTGAAAAGGTAAGTCAGCCTCTAGGTTGCTCACAGTCCCCATCTACTCAGGAGGCTAGGTCCTATTTTGTCATTCCATGTGTAGTTTGGACCCTTCCTCCACCTTTATGTATTCATTACTACATTGTGATTCTTTCAGGTAATGATAAAATTCTAATCTCATACCAAACTGGAAAGGGCCCAAAAGAGTTTCTTTCCAGTGTACACTTCTACTGAATTATAACTGCTATGAGACAAACCACACCAGCATGCAGAATGACTCCTAAAACTGATGTTCAGAGGTTTAAGTCTAAATGGATTAAATAAGAATCATCCAAGAACTTGTTAGTAGCTATTATCTTCAGAGATTCTGATGGTGCGCAAGGTGAGGTAGCCACTATAAGACAGATGCTTGCAGATCCTGTATTTGACTCGTCATTTTTTTTAATTATTGATTTTATTGAGCTATACATTTTTCTCTGCTCCCCTCCCTTTCTCTTCTATCCTCTTCAACCCTCTCCCATGGTCCCCATGCTCTCAATTTACTCAGGAGATCTTGTCTTTTTCTACTTCCCATGTAGATTAGATCTGTGTATGTCTCTCTTAGGGTCCTCATTGTTTTCTAGGTTCTCTGGGATTGTGAATTGTAGGGTTGTTTTCTTTGCTTTATGTCTAAAATTCATTTATGAGTGAGTACATATGATATTTGTCTTTCTGTCTGGGTTACCTCACTCAATATGATGTTTTCTAGATCCATCCATTTGCCTACAAATTTCCTGGTATTTCTCTCTGACATGGCAAAGTAAAACCCATTACTCTGGAATTTTCAGGCACTGTCAAGAATTGAAATGGGAAGGGAAAATGCAAAGAGAGGATAGGAAGGGTGAGGAGAGAAGGCATTTGCTTTGGGATGTGTCCAGAAGGCCTGCCTTCCAGCCTCAACCAGGAGAATCCCGTCAGCCTGGTACCTTGACAATTCCGGATACAGCCATTTGGAAATGATGGTGTGGTGTAACATTTCTCAAGTTCTTACCAAAATCCAGGAACTCCTAAGCCTGTTACAATAGTAACATGGTTAATTTCACAAATAATCTTCTGTAAGGAATGAGGCCCATGTCACTAAAGTTTGTATATAAGTATGTCGTGACTCACAAAATTTGAGGAACCCGCCAAAGGTCATTCAGATAGTGAAGAACACAGCAGGGGGTTGGCACTGGCTGGTCAGGGGTCCGTGCCAGCTAGTGTGGTTCCACATTTCCTTTTGTGGTTCTCGTGGGACTGTTTTGACTTGGGGATAGTTTAATAACAGCCTATAATGTGATGATTAAATTTGCCACTACCGTAAAATAATATTTGGAGCCTGTCTCACTCGGTCACGTAGCTTCGTGTTTTCTCTGAACCTTTTCCAGTAACCAATCCTCATGCCCTAATAGGGAGCCACCATACAAAGAGACGCAGTGGCTGGGCAGAGCAGGACTGTTGGGATCATAAGCCGTGGCATTCCGTAGAGCTCCTTCCTTTGCTTTTCAGGTGTAGTGAAGGACACGTAAACGCATGTATGTGAACATGCGTTTTCTAGACACTCGCTTTTTTCCTTTACGAACGTTGGGTTTAAACATGCATAACAAGTAGAAAAATCCCTTCTACCTAAGAGAAGTTGGTGTTTGCGTAAGTAACCATACCAGTTACACTGTGATGTAAATCAGTGGAGTTCTTACTCCTTGTTAGCTAATATGGCTTAGCCTTGCCTTTTAAAAATTATAATAGAAGATAAGCTTTAATTGAGTTTTTAAGACAGATGCCTTATTTTAATTTTTTAAGCAATAGCCCCTGCTCCCCTTTTCCTGTTCGGTTTTGTTGTTTCCAGGCAGGAGGTCACTAAGCTGCCCAGGCAGGCTTTGGGCTCAGATCTTGCTGCAGCGGGAAGAGTTTGCCAACCTTCGGGTTTCCAGAGCTGTCGAAGCAGCTTCCCGTGGATGCGAGGTTGGCTATCTCCCCCAGAGCCTGCTTTCTTCGCCTGGCAGCATAGGGGCCAAAACACTCACCGCTCTTTCTTTTCTTTGCTCTTGGTTGAGACCTTCATGGTATCTCAAGAAGAGCATGCTGTGCTCAGTCTCAGCCCCAATTCCTCAGTCCTTCCGAAGAAAGACCCAGTTGTGAAACATTCAACCATAAGAATAAAACTATCCTTACGGATAAATAATCTACGACGAGATCTTACTTCAAAGAAGTGAAGAGTGTGCTTCTGATCACTTTACAGTAACTCTTGCTGACAGGAGGGCTATGGCTGGAACCGGAAAAGGTGTGCCCCAGCAGTCTTGGTGTCTGATCGCTTACACCATTTTAATAGACCAAGATTGTTAAGCACAGACGTCCTAAAACCTCGCCTACCTGTACCTGTTTTGTAGTCTTTATTCCACGGTGGAAAATAGGATTTTATGAGTCATCTAAACTTTGTTCATTGGCATGCAGCTGTTTCATCAATGGATTCTGTAGTAAGGCTGACTGCTATCTCAGTAACTCGCCTGTGGTCACAGCAACCAGTGTGTTAAGATATTGTCGTCCTATGAAGAAACATACGCATGATGTCCATTATTTAAGCATAGTTTCTTTCAAAATAATTAATATTTTATGTGTTTACATAAAAATCTATGGTGGTTGAAAAGAAAACGTTTTAATCAAATGAATCTGAATTTAAGCTCCAGTTGTTAATTTTTTTGGCTGTGACCTTGTCAAACTACTTAACATGTGTGTACTGTCTTCTCCATATAGCAGACATTAATACTGTTAATTTTGAGGGTCTCAGCATTTATAGAAGTAATAAGTACCAAACCAAAAGAAAGCCAAACTTTTAGCAGGCAAAACTGAAAAATTTAAGAAGCATCAGTTCCTAGTGATTTTATTCAATTACACTTCCTCAGATATACTTTACAAAAATGTTTTGACAATTGGTAATTTATCTTAGAAAAACATTCGATTAGTATTTAAATTTGTCAGTTGCATATTAGACCTGGAAAAACACAGTATTTCTTATGCACATCAACATTTTTTCTTACAAAACAATAATGCATAGTGGGTATGAATTTATATCTCCATTGGACATGGATTGTGCCAGATCCTTGACCTGTCTTTCCCGTCTTTCTTATGTGTACAATTAATTCTTATCCCGTGGCAATGTTAGAAGCAACATGGGAAAAATCAAATTTCTTAACAGGATCTCTTGCAAAATTGCTCTGTCATGGAAACAACATCCATTGCTGTTTTTAGCAGCACCATTTTCCCGGTGAAGTTGTGAGTTAAGAAACCTGAATGACAGGGCAAGATGTGCCACTCGGGAACTTTGGCATCTTCAGCAAAGGGCTTGGCTTTTCTGTCTCATTTCTCCTGCTCTGCAAATCTTATTATATGACTCAGTCACATAAGCTAATATTGCCATAAACTCTGTTTTATCTTTCAGTTTGTGGGGACATCCATGGACAATTCTTTGACTTGATGAAGCTCTTTGAAGTGGGAGGATCCCCTGCCAACACTCGCTACCTCTTCTTAGGGGACTATGTTGACAGAGGGTACTTCAGTATCGAAGTAAGTACACAGGGATTCCTCTTAGCCCGTTATGAATCACTGATACTGTAATGAGATAGGGAAATAAACACCTTGCAGAAATCTAGAATGTAGCAATCAATTTCAGTACACTTAAGGAGATAAATAATCCTGTATTTTTTATGCAGAGGGATGACGAAATGGTAAAATGTTGTCTTTTGCTGTTCTTGAAAATTGGTTGAAAGAACTAATTAGAGTTTGATAGCATAACGGGACGTGAGTTGCCAAATCTATGGCTTATGGTTATGAGACAGTAAGTCAGTTTCACAAGTGGAAGCAGAATGATGGTGTGCCTGTGTGAGGACACTGGCAGCTGCTGGATCGTGGCTCCTGTCATCGAACTAGGAAATTAGTCAAAGTCATTAATTAGTCAAAGTAGAAGAGATGATCACTGAATATTGGCTCTTCATCGGCTTTTCCATCTTTATCTACTTTAAGGGAATAAAAATCACATTCAAAATAAAAGCAAGACCATGTACTCAAGTTTGTTCTTCCTGGTGCCTCACGTGACATCTCAGGGAGGGCCCAACAGTTATACTGGGAAAACATGGTTTCTGTAAGAGGAAATTTTGAAGCTGAAGCTCATAATACTAGTCAATATGTGTTCCTAAGAGAACAATGGATAGGAAGGAGCACTGTTTTCATGCATTAAGTCAACATGACCCATACCTCGGACCATCGACTCACAGCCATCATACAGAAAAGGGTTCTAAAATAATTTAATATTCGATTTACAAGCCGGGCAGTGGTGGCGCACACCTTAATCCCAGCACTCGGGAGGCAGAAGCAGGACGATCTCTGTGAGTTTGAGGCCAGCCAGCAGGACGATCTCTGTGAGTTTGAGGCCAGCCTGGTCTACAAGAGCAAGTTCCGAGACAGGCTCCAAAGCTACAATGAAAGCCTGTCTTGAAAAACCAAAAATAAACAAACAAACAAACAAAGATTTACCTAAGAGACATTAAATATTAATACAATGTTTCAACCTCAAACATATCAACTGGATATTTGGGGTATTTAGTTACCTGTAGTTGAAAAATTGAAACTCTCTCTTTCTTGCTTTATATGTATGTTTACATGTTTGTTTGTGGGGGGGTATATGGAACGTATATACATGTATGTACATGTATATATGTAGTTTATATGTATATATAAGCCATTATAAATGAACATAAACATATTTGAGTATTTTGTCACAGATAAATGGGTACACATACCCTATGATTCTGACTCTGGAGAAATGGTAAAGTATCTCCTTGCTCTCTAGAAATGGTAGTCTAGACAAGGAACTAGGATTATCCACACTCTAAAGAGAACCGAACCCTGGCATGGTAGCTGTCCTAGGCTCAGGTTTCTGCTGTCACTGTGATTTTGTTTGAAGTGCTAGGAATTGAAGCAGACTTTCATGTACATTAGGGAAGTATCATCATAACACCGAGGTACACTCTAGTTCTGATTGTTTTTCCTACAAAAACTACAACTCTGTATCTGTGGCCATTTAAAATATTCTAAATATCTCCTAATTAGAGTTTTTTAGAGCTCCATTTATTTAAAATATATGTTTGGAAAGTAGAAATCCTCGATTTGGTCCTTGGGAGATGCTTTTCTTTGAAAGAATCTATAGTCGCTCTTGATATTAGAAATAAGAAAGTTGCAATATTTTGTCTAATGTGGTCATTTTGAAATTTAAAATTTATACAAAGATCAAAGTATCCAGCTAAATGATGTGCCATGTTGAATGTAGGTCTCATGGTACATTAAAACATTCTCAAATGCATTTGTCAAAAATGCCATCTTTATAACTGTCTCAGTTAAAATGAGTACAGACCCATGAACTTTCTGCATACACACAATGACAAAATGTTTCAGCGGTAGTATGGTCCATTTTGATCTAATTGTGACCTGTGAGTAGCTTTGCCGTGGCTGTGATATGATCAGCATATTAAAGCTGATATGATCAGCATATTGAAACAGATCAAGCATGTATATCAGTGCTTCTCAACCTATGGGTCACAACCCCTTTGGGGTGGGTCAAACGGCCCTTTCACAAGGGCCACCTAAGACCATTTGCATATCAGATATTTATATTATGATTCATAACAATAGCAGAATTTCAGTCACGATATAACAATGAAAATAATTTTATGGTCAGAGGTCACCAGACTATGAGGAACTGTATTATGGGGTCGCAGCATTAGGAAAAGTTGAGAACCATTGATGTGTATGGAATACTCTAAGGATATTTGTAGGTGTCTGCTGTGGTTTGCCTGCTGAAAGTACTATCCGTCAATAAGTGGACTCCTTCCTCCCCCCACTAGAAGGTGTTTTAGCAGGTGTCAGGAATACCTTCCTTTCATAAGATGTTGAGATTAGGACAGAGAGAGGGCTTAGGATTCCAAGGCTGTACTCTTTCCTCTGTTCCAACGCTGGTCACACTGTATTCATTGAGTGTACCTGAAGAAATAGACACGCTGTAATGCAGAAGCTCAAACACAGCTCCACACATTCACATACATGCACATGTGAGTACACATGCTCCTGTCTTCTTAGGTTTAAATCATCCCATACAAAATATTCTCTGTGCGTATGAGATTTGCTGACTCCTAAGCTCCTGGAATAAGAGCTTAGTTTTCTACCGTGCGTTATCCTACCAGGTTTCAAGACGTTTTGGATCCGTGTCCATAACTCGGGGTCACACTCCAGGTATTCGCCTAAGCTTAGCCTCTCAATGAAGAGGGACGCCTGCGTTTACTCCATAACACATCCACTTAGAAGAACTGGTCCTATTTCTAATGAACTCTTCGGACTCCAGTTGCAGGCTCCGGGTAGCATGCCGTGGACAGCTCAGACTGCTTTCATGCACTCCCCCCTCACCCCCAGTAACCCTACTTTCTCCTCTTTGCCATGTTTAGAAATCATTCCCCACAAAATGAACCCCCAAACAAGCTAGCTTTTGAGTATCGATGGAAGAAGTAATTTTGTTCTCAACTGTAATTTGTCTTACAACAAACCTTTCTCCTTCTGATGATCGTATGACCCTACCTAGTCTCTTTGATCAAGCCGGTGTGTATATTTAGGTCCACAGCTGGGCGTGTTTCTCTCCAGACCTGTCATGCACAGCTGTTTTCTGTGTTTACTTCCTTAGGCTCTCTGCAGGCATTCGGCAGCACACCACCTTGAGGTGGCAGTGAGCTGGCCTCTCCTGAGATGCTTTCATCCAGACCTCAGCCCAGGCCTCCAAGGCCTCCAGTACTCTGAAGTGGGAAAGGTTGTTGTGTTTATTAGCTGCGAACTCGTGGGCCAGAATGAACCACAGTAAGCCAGGCAGCATTCCGTGCTGCTGCTGAAAATAAGAAGCAAGCGGTAGATCACATGACAGAGGTGACAAAGCAGGGCCACCAGGCTTGATAGCCAGAGGTGCCTAACAGGGCACTGGTCTTGGACGGCCACTTCATGGTGTGTTTGTCAGACCAGACAAATGATGTCTTAGAGAAGTCAAGTTCCATATTGCAGAAGTTTGGATCCTTTCCCGGTTTATGTGATAGCCTGCACTTAACCATCCATGACACAGAAGCATCCGTTTTGATTAGGATGTTTTGAAGCATGGGTAGTTCCCAGTTCAGGGAACTGGTCTGTATGTAACTAAAACAGTAATCTCCTGCCCCGTGGGAAGTCCAAGGTCCAACCCCCTCCATCCAGGTCTCTAAAGGTGAGCACCCAAACAAACCAGGCTCCCACAAAGTCAGCCTGACTGCTCTTAGGACTAGAGAGGGAGGGATAGGTGGGGAGAGGAGGGAAAGGAAAGGTAGGGAGGAGGTGGAAATTTTTAATTAATTAATTAATAAAAACCCAGTAATCTCCTTTTCACTTCCTGGCCTCTCGTGTTGCCTTGCAGTTCCTAAGAACTCCATGCAGTTTTGAAAGAAGGCTGTCCATCTAAATGCCTAAATTACTAAGTAAATCACGGCAGTTTTTATCAGTGGACGAAGACGACAATGTTCTTAGTGCTGGCTTATTAAGAATGAGTCATAAATTGGCCAAAACTATGTCTATGATAGAAATAAGTGTGATCTTTCATGTTGAGTAACTCTAACTAGACGTTGTGAATTCTTGTTCAGTTAGCAGTAGCAATGGTTAGGTGATTTGAAGTGATTGCTATGGCTCATTTACATCCTTACTATGCAGAAGGGTCCCTGGAACGTGATGCTCTTCCTGCCTTAACGAACTCAGTAAAATGCTGGCTCATGGCCATCACCCACTAACAGAGACAGGCACCCGAGTGACACTGATTCCTCTCGCTTCATTTGCTTGTGATAATTTTAACGAATCTGTACTTTACAACAGATCTGAGGTCATGGTTTTGTTAAAGGGCTTCAGCTTTTCAGAACGCTGGGACTTTATGTGGCAAAGCAGCCGCCAGTAAGAAGGCCTTGCTATGCTTGGCGGTCCTCCCCAGCAGATGTTGAGGGTGAAGGCTGGCAGGGCTCCACCCTCCAGTCCACCCTTGCCCTTTCATTTACCATGCCACTTCTTCCATGCTGGCTGTGTTTGCGGTCTTATTTAGTGTTTGGAAGATATTTTATGCTTGCCACAGGAGAAAAGGAAATAATGTGTGGAAAAAAAAAAAAATGACTCGCACTTGAGAATACTTTGAGCCAAGAATTTGGAAGATTGAGTTATTTTCCTTCCTTTATTTTTCTTTTTCTTTCCCTTTCTCTCCTTGTTTTCTTTTCCTTTTTTTGTTTTTGTTTATTGACCCCCCCTCTTTTGTCCCCACTTTTGTTCTTCAAAGATAAGGTTAATATATGCCAAATGTCTATCACATGCTCAGTATTTTACATCCATAAAGGAGTTGTACAACGCATTATTTTTAAATGTATACTTATAAATACTAGGAATATTTAGCATGGAACATTTCTGAATATCCCTTAGAAGGTTTCAGTTATGAAAGAATTTTAGTAATTAAGACTAGAGGGATAAAGTTAAAAAGCTGCATGCCATTATCAGACGGAATAAGATCTTTAAACACTGTCAAAAAGAAAATGTGGGTCTTCAGATACAATTTCTCTAGTCTGCTAGGTAGTTGAATGGGCTTGCAAAATGCAGTTTACATTTTAGATGGAGAGATAATTGCTTTATTTTAAAATAAATTGTTATAGGGAAAAATGAATCTAAAGAGGTCAGAATTTCGGATAAATTTTTTAAAAAGTGACTCATGAGGAGGGAACATGAGAGTGTTAGAGGTTCTAGGTCCATGTAGTGGTTTAATGGGGTGCATATGTGTCTATTTTCATAGAGTTGTGTGTGAAATGGTCATCTATTGTTATGTGAGTTGTACTCAAAAACTTAAAAAAAATCTGTACTAACTAGCTAGACCTTTTGCATTCTCACTGAACTGTAAATAAGGCACACTCAGGTAGGAATCTCAGTAGTGCATATGTTCTAGACTCTAAAGCAAAAGCCCAGGACTCCCAGCAAACTAGGTCCAGTCACCTGCCGTGATTGTCCAGTTACGGAGACCAGGAGTAAAAGACAGAAAACAAGACTTTTAATTGACACAGATCACTGAGGAGAGGAACAGAAAAGAAGACTGACCCCAAGTCAGTCTTCAGGATACTGATAGGAGTTTCAAGTTTAAGTAGTGAGAGAATTGGCTTAGGGACAGGTGCCATACAGCAAGGAAATCCCAGTGTCCTTAAGGTCTGGCTGTGTCAGATCTGGCTCTGCACGTTCCTGTTGCTTGTTCTGCAAGTCTCCCTTACTCTGTTGCTTGAGAGAACAACCCAGCTTCCCTGTGGTCACTGCCTCTGCTTGAGGGTGAGCTCCTCAAAGCATAATATGTTGCAAAACCCTGCTGGTCTTTGAAGCTAGTCTAACTGCAGGATTGGGACAATGGCTGACCCCAAGGACATGATACGACCTGACAGGAAGATGCCTCAATTACAGTCACCTGTCCTCCATCAAGGCAGTTGGGATAGGTTAGGTAGTAGTACTGGATTTACACAGATGGGAGCGACTAACATGTCAGTGTGCAGAGTTAGGCAGGATTCTGGTCTAAAGGTTCAAGACAAAGCCAACAATGTAAGATGCAGGCAGGGATGCCAGCCTTCTATTCGGCTTATAGCAAACTGATGAGTCCAAGTAAGGCTTTAGTGCTTTTTGGCCTACTGTTTCCAAGCACCTGTTATCATATGTTTAAAGGGGCTTTATATTCCATTCCTCTTCCAAATTAGGCCTTCCAACTTAACTGCCAGCTCACAAGTAGTTATGTGTGTACGGACACACCACCTGCGTCAAGGGGCAATCTTCACAGTGCTGAACTGGTAACAAGCCTCTCATTGACGTTCATGGCATGTAATAAATGCCTTCTCTGAACTAGGAGGTGAATTTGAATCATACAAACACCTTTTATTTAAACATGTAACTGTAGTTCTAAAATAGGATTCCTAGCAAGGACTCATTAGGCAGCCTCACTCATCACTGAGATGGCACAGAGATTTGCAGGCACAGAGGGCCATGCTGCTTCAAGGGCCACTTACAGAGGATACTTGGTCAGCTCTTCAGATATGCTAATATCTTAATAGCATGAACTTTAGCTAATGGCTATAGTTAGAAAAACAATCATTCATACACACACACACACACACACACACACTAATGCCAAACTGTTGTTTTTCCTTAATTCAATCACTGTGTCATATTTGAACATAACATGTTGGAACATTACAGCAATCTACACTTGTCTCCTTAATTAGTATTTTCCCAAAAAACCCCTGGACTATATGTTCAAGCATAAATATTTCCATGCTTTGATAAATTACCACAGAAGCTCTCAGACGAATATCCTTTGAAGGTGGATATCTTTCCCAGGGAGCCAGCAGATTCATTTTCTATAGGTTTTCTCTTTAGGATCTCAGTGTGCCTACTGTGTGTTGGAAGACTGGTGAAAGAAGTGTAAATATTATGTGTGTGTTCGTGATCAGAGTCTGGTCTGTCCGTATCTCTGTGGGGTCCTTGCCTTGCCTGCACTTTGGGATCACAAGCTTCATGGAGAGGAGACAGCATGCTTGTTTTTTTCTAAGAATCGTTTTCTGCTCTGTGTGGCGTCTTAATGAATGACACTGGGGGGTAAAGCTGGTATTAATATTACTATTTGACTGTCCCTCTTATACCTCATCTCTATAAAGATTTATTCCACACCTGATCCACGTGTAGCTAGCCATCCCCGCCACACAATCTAAAATGCCCAATTAACTAATTTGAGAGTTTTAAGGTGCAAGCCATGTATTCCCTGTTTTTGTAGTGAATGTGTTGAGAATCGCTGCCCTTCAATTCAGTTGTATTTTATCTAAAAAGTTGTAGGGCTCTGCTCTGTATCACAAAGGCAGTGAAATAAAGGACAAGATAAAGGCCAGCAATGTGGCTCAGTGGGTAAAGGTGCTTCCTGCCGCTCCTGACCACCCGAGTCCAGCAGAGAGCCATCTCCAGTATGGCATCCACTGATGCACACATAAAGATGCATAAATAAATGGAACTTAAAAAAATTAATGAGATGCCGAGAGATTTGTTGCAAGTGGTACGTTAGGTTATATTCTCTTTGCCTCTCAGTATCCTCGAAGTTGAGAAGGTTGTCCATAATACATTGAGCTCTTGTTAGTTGATGAAATGCTCAAATACAATGAAATTTGCTCATTTTCTGTTTATTTTTTTTTTAGTGTGTGCTGTATTTGTGGGCCTTGAAAATTCTTTACCCCAAAACACTGTTTTTACTTCGCGGAAATCATGAATGTAGACATCTAACAGAGTATTTCACATTTAAACAAGAATGTAAGTATACTGTGACTTTTTCTTTTAATGTAATATGTACAAAATTATCATTTCAACTGGTAGATGAAAACATACTATGTTATTATTCTCTGCGTAAAGGTCAAAGCTTTAGGTGACATTTCATATCATCTTTCTAAACATGGGCAGTTTAATGAAACATTTAATTTTAAATTCTGTTTATAATTCTTACCGAATTGTCTTTGGCCATATGGACTCTCCACCCCACCCTCTAACTACTCCCTGGTTCACCTCCATATCCCTACATCCAGAATTTTGTCTTTTATCCGACCTTCCATTTCCAATTTGTATTGCTCATATATTCCTAGATGTGGGCCCATCCAATAGAACGTCATCAATGTACCCTAGGCTACACCATTAAAGAAAACTAACTCACCCTCCTACAGAGGCTATCAGCTGTCCATAGTGCGTCAGGTAGTGCAGTGCTCAGGGATCCTTTCTGCCCCCATGCTAGAAGAGCGACAGAAAGATTATAGGAGGCAGGAGCTGGGGATATAGAGAACAAAACAGTGTCTTCTGAGCATGATAGTACCACTGACTCATGAGCTTACAGTGACTGTGGTAGCCTATACAAGGCCTGCATAAAATGGATCCAGAATGTGTTTTTTTAATCGTAGGTTTTATCGAGTGGCCTATTAATCTGAGTTAAAGTTCCATGTGTGTCATAGTTCACAACTAGTGTTTACGAAAGTGATCCTACCTTTCAGTCTTAGTCGAGTCCAGAGAAGGAAATGGGGCCAAATTGAAGCTCTGTTTTGCAGCCTCATAGATACCAGCCTCTAGGACATTAGACCACACGAAAGCCGATTCCTTCCTTTAGGTATAGATACTTGGATAAAGGAATGCTTTTTGTATAAGTTCTGTTTTCCCCTGTCTGTTTTCCCTGTTGTTTACTGAAACTTTTTTTTCTCTCTTTGTAATTTGGTTTTATAGTCAGTGAAGCATAAAGACTTTCCTAAAAACATTAGCTGTGAGTCAATATGGGGAAATAAGAACTCTGTGAGGCAGAAAAAGCTTCAGAAAGTACCTTGGCTATGTCTTTTCTCCAAAATCTTATGGGAAATATCACCCAGCTTTATGACCCTCTTTCAGTTAGCTTCCACTTATTCCAATGTGTATGTGTGTGTGTATACATATGTGTGTGTGTACACATGCACACACACAGAAGGTATGTAAAAACTTGAATTTACAGACAAAAGTTATAAAAAGTGAACAATATGGAGAAATAGCAGAAATAGAAGATACTGTCTATGAAGGTTAATCCAGAGTCTTAGAAATCATATTGATTCTGTTTTTGAAGGGTCACATTCATATTACCCTGGCAAGAAAACATTGAAAAGAACCAAAGCGAGTTCAATAAAATGTTCCTCGTCACAAAGTCACAACAGTAACTTTTTCCTTCTCACTCTATTTCAAAGGTAAAATAAAGTATTCAGAACGAGTTTATGATGCCTGTATGGATGCCTTCGACTGCCTTCCCCTGGCCGCACTGATGAACCAGCAGTTCCTGTGTGTCCATGGTGGTTTGTCCCCAGAGATTAACACTCTAGATGACATCAGAAAAGTAAGCTCTATTATTGTCCGGGTCTACTCATTCTCTGTCCTTCAACAGGTACTAGACAATCTCACTTGTCCCGCCCCTGTCACTACTTGCATCATTTTCATTTAAAATAACTGAACATGCTCGCATCTCCCCGATTTGTATCAGATTGTTAGCTTGAAGAGAAGATACATCTCTAGACCCTCAGGGTTTGGCTGAGCATGTGGCGCGTGTCATGAAACAATCATATATTTGATCTCTAACGCATGTGGGCAGTTTCATTTTCCTTTTTTTCAAATAGTCCATTGTATATTCCTGGTTTGTTCAATGGGAAAAGATGCTTGGTCTTTGGAGAAATAGCACACCTTAACCTTTAAAATGCCTTTATCATAATAGTCTTTCTTGTTGTTGTTCCAATATCCAATATTAAAGTTAACATTCAGCAAAGGCAAAGGTAGTATTATGTTGATTGTATTAAAAGTAGCGGCATTTTTTCCCGAAGCATGCCTTGACTTTGTGTTTGCTGGGGCTGTTATTTCCCAGCAGAAGGATAACTGAGGTGGAACGAGGAAGTGTATTGTCTGCTTTTCATAAAACAATGCAATAATACATGACAGTGCTACACAACAGAAATAATGTTTTATTTCTCAGTGTTTATATTCTGATAATGCAGCAATGTAAAAAAAAGACGTGAAAGATTATTTTAAAATTTTCATTGTACTTTTGGTGCCCCAAATCTCTAAAACACAATAAAAATATTTTCCTGTATCGTCTCCACATATGCTTGTAGTTGTCTAACACATGACATTTGTGTATGCAAGTATAGAACATACAGGATCGTAATTTGAATATAATTTTCTCCACTAAGCTTTTGAGCTAAGAAACCAAAGCCACATTTTTTTCTGCAGGAATTACTGATGTGTAAAGACTGTGTCAGACATCTCTCCCTGCCTTTTAGAGCCCTGGGAAAAGAGATTACATTCTCCCAAGCAGAGAAGCGAGTATGGCAATGAGTCTGACCCCCTTTTACTATTCTTGCCAGACACTTTAGAAGGAATGAGTAGCTGAAATTATTCTGAATTGCTGCATTTAAACTACTCAAGTTGGAATTCGGCTGAGTTTTGCTAGAAAGATACATGCTGTCTGGTATTTATTTGAAGCTGGTATGCTGTAAGTACACTCTGGCTTCAAACAAGTCATTCAGTAACCTGGACGCCAATGAATACACAAGTTTTGCTCAAGCAGTAGCTTGCTTCAGATTCCTCGTGTACATAACTCAAATTCTGCCTGTGGGTATTCATACATGAGACCCAGTGATATCATTTGAGTAATTCATATTTTTTTTAAGTTTCTTGAGCTTGAATGTTTCTGTTGCTGCCTCACAAATTTGTATTCTGAGCAGCAATTCCAAGCTAATTATAAGAGCTGTCTTTAGTTAATATAAATTTAGGAAGTAGTATTTTCCACCGTGTTTAGTGATGAAATAAAATCATCACGCAACTTGTATACTAGTAACTATATAACTTATCATGGCAGGGGAATGGAAAATGTGACACTATCAGCAACCAACCTTGCTGAACTAACAGATGCTGGGACCACACCCATGCATGTGTGTTGTCCTTGATGATATTGGCAAATTCATGGGCCTAAATGAAAGATGCAAAGTGTATCAAGCATCCTTCCAACAGGAGGAAGTGCTGAAAATCTATTCTATACCCATTTTACTGTTTTTAAGGGACAAAACAGAAAGGACTTAGCTATTTAATTATTGTGTAAAAACTGTCGTCACTGACAAAAAGAAACGATGAACCTGAACTTTAAAATGAATAATCATTTTTGTACTGCTTACTGTTCCCTTGGCAATGTTCATTGGAATCTACAGAATTGAGAAAATAACTTATCAAATCACAAATATATTTCTACTTTATAAGTATCTATTGCCATGAGATCAGTATTTGTTTTTATCCCAGGAAGCCAAATATTCAACTCCTTCTTTATGAATCCGGCCATTAATCTGCAACTGACTTATATTCTCAGAAGTAGAGGGAACGATAGGCCTTTTCTCTCCTATCGGAAAGTAACTGTGCTATTGTTCTTTCTTTAAAAACCACACAAAGGACTGAAGACATGTCTGTGGCGGAGGACTGCAGTTAGGTTCCCAGCTGCCATGTCAGGTGGCTCTCACCACCGGTAGCCCCAGCCCCAGAGGGTCGGATGCCTCTTCTGGCCTCAGGGGCCACCTGTACTCACATGTTCATACCAGTGCATGAATATACATATAACACAATTATTTTCTAAATAAATCTTGAAAAATTAAACGAAAGCACATTAAATAAACACAGATTCTTCTCGGTGTGCCGATAGCCTCTTCCATGAGGCACCATTACTCTTTCTTCTGGGGTTATTTTGCACAGACTGCATTGGTCATGACGGCCACACAGTTTATAACTGGGAAACTAATTCCATATGAAGGCCCCGCAAGGATAATGCCAAAGCCTAGAAGTGTGAGCAGGGTCTAGAGAAATTTGGGGCTTTTTTTACCGTCCCACTCTTACTTGCACCAAGACCAGCTGCACGGTGCCGTGGCCTGCAGCTAGAAGCAGAGGTGGCTTCTGAGGAGCAAGTGTCAGCGTGGCACGAAGCAAGTGGCCCCTCAGAAAGGGAAAGCCACCTATGCTTGGAATCATTTTGTTGTATTAAAAAAGTCATCACAGGGAATTCTTATCCAGGTTTTAAATGACAGTTCTCTGCGGGTGGAAGACAGAGCAAAGTCAAGTTCCTCCTTCACAAATAAGACAGGAATAGGTTGAAACCATGATAGTGACTGTGTTATTTTGATGAAAAAGAAATAAGAGAAAGATTAAAAGGAAATGGACAAAAGAAAAAATAAAACAAGAAGAAAGTGTAAGGATTAAATAGACAGAGAGAGGCAAAGGGGGAGGTGAGGGCACAGGCTACGTACGTGGGTATATATTTATTTCATCATGAGGAAGAAGAGAGGAAAAGCCGAGAAGAGGAGTGGGGGTGAAGTGGGCACCATCTGAGGCCAAGGGGTATCACTCAGAGCTGCCTTCCTGTGTGTTCTGAATTCTGAGTGTCCAAAGATGAGTATTTTGTTTTCTGTCTTCTATTTTTCTTAGTTAGACCGATTCAAAGAACCACCTGCTTATGGGCCCATGTGTGACATCCTGTGGTCGGACCCTCTGGAGGACTTCGGGAATGAGAAGACTCAGGAACATTTCACTCACAACACAGTCAGGGGATGTTCGTATTTCTACAGGTGAGGACCTGGCCCTGCCTTACGGGCTGGAACCTGTCTGTCTTAACAGTAGTGGGGCTTATGAAGAAATAAGTGGATACACAGATATGAAGAATGCATACCTGAATATAAATGCTTGTGGATATGAATTCCTTGAAGGCTGTGAAAGAAATGAAAGGCAGGTGCTGGGACAGGGGATGGCTGCTGCTGATGATAAAATACACTAAAAATTGTCTCTACCGCATGAACTACGGGAGAGTCTCATTACTGGCCTTCCTTTCTTCCATCCATAAATGTACTCTTGTTTTACCAGTTCGTATAACTCAGATCAGAAAACCAACCACTCATTGGCTGACTGAATCATACTCAGTTCATTCTCAGATTAGTTTAAAATGTTTCCAGCTTCCTGGATGGCTGGGACCCAGCAGTTACCAGAGTATCTAGGTAACCGGGTGGGTGGGTTCACACTTAGCATGTGGATAAGCCATGTTGAAAATGTCTTAATAGTGCATTTTACATGTGCAAGTAGAACCTGGATGTCCAATCACTGCAGAAAGGAATCTGTAGGACATTTGGGGTTCTGTGTGTCCAAACTACTTTACTGATCTTTTGCCCTCATCTAAGCTTGGTTTGGTCCCTTCCAGTGTGATGTAATGGTGGGAATGTTCCTAGGAGGAAATAGAATATGAAAACAAAATGGAGAATTTTAAATTCTAAAACACATTTTTTTTTATTTTCTATTTCCACTTAAAATAATACACCTGATGTTCCCCAGAACTAATGTTTATTTCCATGGAATGATTTAGTCTAAAAACCTCTGTAAGAACAATTCATTAGCACACCTCCCATGTTCACAGCAAGCTGATAGTGTGCTCTGTGTAAGTTTCCTATTCAATAGTGGAACATATTCTATGCATTAAATTTTAATTATAGATGAAAAGGGTTTTTATTTATTAGTATGGGAAATTCATTTTGAACATAAGATCATCTTTTCTGGAAACCATAATTGTGGGAGTGAGTTCTATTTTACATAATAATGGTGAAGCTTATTCTGAACCAAAATGTCAGGTTGCAAATTATTTTCTGTTTTGGAAGAGGCAAAAATGTTGATGAGTTATATGTCGGTAAAATGTTCTATAATTCTGAGAAACTTAAAACTTCCTGTCAATAATCATTCAACTTAGGTATAACATTTTATGAAGATGTTTATAGCAAAGAGGTATTTGAAGTAAATTAAAGCCAAATGTTTGACATTTCAAATCTGGTGTTAAATTCCCCAATTATATATAGGTCTCTAGGTTACCTGTTGTGTTTCACTAAAATAATACTATAAAGAAGCCAAACATGATTATAACATTGACTCACATTGTATTTATCTTCAGTGTAGCACTCTGCTGTCAATCTTCTGGGGCTGACAATCAGGCAACCTTATTCTGAACGACATACTAGAATAAGCTTACACATTACACAGTCCTTTTCATTTTGCTAAAACATATATGAAAAGAGTTTTGGGGGGCTTACAATTTCAGAGGGTGAGTCCATGACCATTATGATAGAGGGCATGGCAGTAGGCTAGCATGGCACCAGAGAAGTAGCTGAGAGTTTGCATGCTGTGATAACCATGGGGCAGAGAAAGCTACCTGGAAATGCTGTGAGCTTTGTTTTGAAACCTCAAAGTCCACACCAACTGACCACCTACTTCAACAAGGCTACAACCCCTAATTCTTACCCACAGTTCTACCAACTGGGGACCAAGCATTCATTCATGAACTTCTGGGGACGGTTATCTCTTTCAAACTGTTACATTCTGTAAATATAGACACAAATACACAATATTTTCCATCACACAGATGCTTCGAGTTAAGCAATACTCACACTTTAATTCTGCAGATCATATGAGTTTCTTCACAGATGTTGACCTTTGATCTTGACAGATGTGTTGCTGTGGGGCTGTCTGAATCAAGAACTGGTGATTGTTAGCAGAGGATTCTGGGTATTCTAGTCTGTCAAAGGGAAATAAAGATATGCCATTAACACAGAGGTTTTTTTTTTTAATTCTTTTGTCTTTAAAGTCACCTTGAAAGGATCAGAGACATTCTTTTAAGTTCATGCTTTAAAGTTCATGTAGACAGGTACAAGTGACTGTAAAATTAGCTAAAGAGCTTAGTGGTTGTGTCCCTTTGGAGTTATTGGCAATTATCTTGACTTGCAATTTTATTTTGCATGTCTCTATGTAGTCTGATACTTAATTTGATATGCCAGCCTATTGACTGTATAACATATTATCTGGGCTATTATTTAAATAGCACATAGTCATACAGAAAAATGTATCAGGATAGGGCTGGAGAAATGACTCAGCAATTAAGAGTGCATACTTCTCTTGCCTAGGATCTGACTTCAGATCCCAGCACCCACACACATCTGGTGGCTCCAAACCACTGTGCGCCTGGCTTCAGTGAGATCGTATCATCCTTGGATACCTGCATACACATACATTCACACATACATGTAATTGGGAAAGAAATCTAAATGTCTTTAAATGTATCAGAAGAATTTTTCCTCTAGCCTTTTAATTAAGTTCCTAGCAATGCCGTTCATATATGTAGTGGATTCTGGGTGCTTTCTCACACCAGCCTCTCTTATTTGCCTTGTACTCCTATTACCTCACATGCCTGTCCCTTTCCCAGACTCATGGCATGTTGGCATTCTTGCATGACTCATTTTGTTTAATCAATATTATCCTAGTGACCCCTGAATGGGGACAAAAGTAATTGGTCAAAACCAAAACTCCTTGGCTGCTCCCCCACCCCAGTATTCCCATTAATTTAATAATCACAGACCGTAGCTTATACCCTCAAATGCCTGCATTGTTTATCAGGTAACTGAAATACTGCATGTGGGCCAGCATCAGACTGGAGATTATTGTGGTCCATGACATAAGGGAAGTAAAGTCCCCTTCATATGAACTCAAGAAAAATGGGAGGAGTTTTGGTCTTTGGTTACCAGTTTGTCTCTGCACCAAGTGCATCATGGAATCACTGTATTCTGGGCTTTCTGCTTACACTGTTTGAGTTCAGTTAGGGCATGCCAGCATTGGCCTGAGGCCCTAGTCTAGGGTTATGCCGATGTGAATGTTGGTGTGCCCGTGGCTGCACCTGCAGCTCACTTAAGCCCCGTGGCTGTGCCTGCAGCCTTGAAGCCCGCAGCAGCAGCCTCCAACTCCTTACCTCACTCAAACCCCTCCAGTTCTGAAGCCCTCTGCCCCTCTTGTCACCTCTGCCCCATGCTCCCTTAAAGTACCAGATAAGGTCTGCCCTCCTGCCACATTTTTCTTGTTCTTATTCCTAAATGTTGCTGAAATCCCAAATCACACTTAGCTATTTAATTATCTGCTAAAGCTGAGCATTTACTTAAGTGTTTCCTGTTCTTATATCCAGTAGAAATGTGTGCGTACGTAAGGATACCAAAAGACAAGCATAAAATAGTTCATGATAGCCAATAAACCACCCAAACATCTACTTAGTAGAATAATAGACTATATAATTTCAAAATGTATGGATAAAGGTGGAAATAGCACCTTCTTTACAGATTAAAGTGTCCTCAGTGCGTGTGTGTGTGTTGCACGCGCGCACATATACAATAACTCTATTATAAGTTACATATATGCACAAAGTGCTGACTATAGAAAATGAGAGTGATCTGAACAAAACCACGCATACCAACATAGATGAATAGCATAAATATGATGAGGAGAAAAAGATAGTCAACAGTCAGATACAATGAAATGAACTCTGCATACAAGAAAACTAGTCTCTAACACTGAAAGCCAAGGTGCCTGTTACCCTGCATGAGGGTGACAGCTCCGAGCAGGGTCTGTGTCTCTGAGCAGTAGGTATGAGGTGTGAAAGTGGTCTTCGTGTGAAGGGATGCCTTCTTCTTATTTATGACCTTTATTTATAGATATTTCACTTCAATAAAACATTCGCTCCAGGGTTAGGAGTGTAGCTCAGTGGTAGAGCACTTGCGCAGTGTACATAAGACCTGGATTTGGTCCCCAGCTCTTCAAAGTAAGAGTTTGCTTAAGTAGCAACTGCTTGCCACTTATCCAGATCCAAGTAAGGGCTGTGTTTTGCCGAAGGTCTGGCAGGAAGTAGAAGCCTCAGCATCTCAATTCTAAATTCCTTAGAGGACCCTGGAGCAAAGGAATGACCAGAAAGTCCTAGGAAAAAAAGGCTGGCAGAAGCCCCAGGGTATTGCAGGGTTGAGTACCCATCACTAGGCCCCAGCTGCAGAGGAGAAGAGCATCTGGGCAGGCTGCAAGGGGTAAGAGCATCAGGAGGAGGAGGAAGCTTCCTGCCTACAGGCTGATGTGCAGGGCTGAGGGGCCACAAAGATCAGCACCCTCCGCATCTCCCCATGAGTGACTGCCCTTGCGGAGGCTCTTTAAGTGACTCCACGTGAGTTCCAGGAGGTGACAGGTTGTTGCTAAGCACTCTGAAGAGGGAGTGGAGAGAGCAGCACATTCCCTCTGCTGGAATGTTCTGTTGCTAAAGGGCAGATCTCTAATCATGCTTTGCATGACCCTGTGATAAGGATCAGGTAGGTCCAAGGTGCCAGCTGGGGAGGCCGCAGTTTCGCAGGCCTGGGGGTGAAGTGGGTTTGACAGAAAGGCTCCTTACAGGGTCACATAACTCAAGCGGAGGAACTAGTCTTTTCGGGAGGAAAAAAACACACAGGGAAAGTATCTGCATGCATGCAGAGCCATTGTAGTGGTACCTGCAGGCAAAATCTTGATGAAAAGGTCTAAGGTATTTAATTCAGAATCCAAAATGCGGTTGATATGTTAGAGAAACGTAAACAAGGAAGCCAGGAGCTCCAGTACTACTTGTCTACTGTTGTTCACATGTTCTTTTAGCCTTCTGTGTTCACAGTCCCTCTCCAAGCCCCCTCAGAACAGAGTCTTCTAATCCTCTCCTGTCTACCGACCCCCATCCAACACTAGACCTTTTGCACAATCACATTCTCAGTGTTCTTTCATGACCGACAGGTGCGGGGTGGGTGGGGCGCTGCCTTACTCTGTAATGTCTATATAACGTGGAATATTTTATCTTCAGTATATTTTATTCGTCTGTAGATTCTTAATTTTTTTATTACACTCAATGTTTCTCTCCATTTTATAAAACACCGCACAGCCCGCCCTTCCTTCTGGCGGAGGGAACAATCCATCGCCTGCTCTAATAGGTCACCGCATTTCGCCTCGGTCACCGCATTTCGCCTCTGCAGAGTCAGAGAATCAGGAGCTCTGCTGCTGAGTGCACACGTATACACACACACACACACACACACACACAGGTGTACAGAGGAACCTGAAACTCTTTACAGTTTGTAAAGGAACGGTTGTTGCCAGAGAACTAAATCTTTCTTGCAGTCTGTATTCTTTGCTTTTCTCCTGCTGTGACAAAATGCAGGCCAAAGCCCTCTGTGAAAGGAAGGAGGGTGCGGCCTGTCCTAGTGCAGAAGTCAGGTTGCCCGAGGCACCGCCAGCTGCTCATATTAGGTCTGCTCCCCGCAGCCAGAGAGCAGAGAGAGGCTGACGCTGATGCTCTCAGCTTGTGACCTTCTCCGTTTTGTTCTGGCCAGGATCCTCTTCCCAAGAATGTGCTACCATCTAGGGTCCATCTGCTCACTTTGATGAACCTAATGTTAAAAACTCCGGCACAGACATGCCCAATTGTCTCCTGGATGTGTCTAGTACCTGTCAAGCTGACTGTCACTACTACCCATCACACAGTTGATGGTACCATCTTAGAAGTATGTTCTTCCTGTTGGTTGGAGAATTCATGCACGTATATAGTGCAGAAACTAATTTGTCTTCTCTAGTATTTTTGTCCCGTATACTAAATTGTTTCTCCAAAGTAGTTTATTTTTTTATTTATGAATATATCCAGGTGTGTGTATTTTAAGGTATAGTGAATATTGTCAGTTTATTCATAAAATACTGGTTTTTCTGACCTTAATTTTAATTTCCAATTTAAATTCAGAAGCTTAATGGATTTTGAATTTATTTCAAGATGTCTTAGAACAAAGGTATAGTGGTTGTAGACAGTATTTTAAGTATCAATTTGTAATTTGGGTTTCAATTATAATGACATTTGGAGATTGAAGCTTTTTTTAATTTTCATTTTATTTATTACTCTGGGCCTGTGATGCTGGGTATGTGAGCACAGGTGTACACACCAAGGCACACATGTGGACGTCAGAGGACGCCTTTCAGGAGCAACTTCTTCCCTTCCACATGTGTGTGCCTTAATGGCCTCAGGGACACACCTGTCCCCAGAGCCAAAAGACTTGTTTCCTGAGTGTTGTGCGATGGTGCTGGATCCCAGCATCACCTGGGTGTCCCGGTGATGTGGCGACACCTGAAGACCTCCTAACCACCGCTTCTCTTTTCTCTCCGTGTCTGGCAGTTACCCGGCTGTCTGCGACTTCCTGCAGCACAATAACCTGTTATCCATCCTCCGAGCCCACGAAGCCCAGGACGCGGGGTGAGTGCTGCTGAGGGTTTCTCAGGACTGCCATGTAGGCAGGCGCTCCTCACCCAGCTTAGGCCCAGCAGAGTCCCTTTGGCCAGACTCAGCTCCAGGAGGAACTGGTTTTAAAATGGGCTTCTAGCAACTCAGGTGTGGCAGAGTTGCTGGCGCTGCATGACTGCTGATGTCTGGGGAAATCCTCTCTACCATTCCTCTGTCTTTAGAGGGAAGAAATCGATTGCCATTTGTTTTCTTAAGGACTCGTTTTCTTAAAGGCACCTCCCCTTATTTCTTTCAATTCTTCCAATCACCATGTACCAAGGAGGAAAACCAGCAGCCACCTCTCAGTCTGTGGACCAGAGTAGATAAGAGTCACAGATATTTAGAAGTTTTTGTAAGTTGTAGGTTTGTTTTAAAGCCTTCCACTCCTGCTCTTTGTAGAGTTTTATTGGGGAGAAAATTAGGACATTAATTGAACAGTAGAGAGTATCAAGCATTTGGTGAATTCTTAAAACCTAGTTTTAAGAGTTTGGAAAACCAAGAAATGTCAAGTGGTTTACCTCAGTGTTTTGTACGGGGGGGGGGCCTTTGCTTGCCTTTAAAGAAACAAGCTCGTCCCTTTGAAGTTTGCCATTTTCTGAAAAGTGAAAGCACTCCTTTTTAAAACCTGAGTGCTGAAGTGAGGTGTTCATGCTTCGCTACGGGATCCCATGTGGCACCTGTCCCTGGCCCATGACAGAAGCTAAAGTCCCTTCTGAGCAGTGCCTGGGGAGGTAGGAGCTAATCTGGCATTGTACAGTGTATTGTCGCTGACCCTTGAAGTGACCTGTTCGTGCACACCATGCCCGGACCCTCAGAACTGTATGAGCTCAGGAGTGCGGGTCCCTGTTATTCCTGGTGTTTTTTTCCAGCAGGCTAGACATTTAGAGCAGATGTATCTTAATCACACTGCATACCTGAGATTGTTTACTTACTTAGACATGGGTGACTTAACTGGCTAAAGTCAATTAGCAACCAATATTTTTGTTTAAAATGATTACTTTCTTAATTGTTTGGGTAAGTTGAGGACATGTCATGTAGTTTTGTTATCTATTTATTTACTTAATCTTCAAGTAGCCCTAAGCAACCTCATCTTATAAAGTCCAAGTACTAGTAGGAATATGTGTCTTAACCAATTACTCTTCCCTTCAGAAGCCCCTACTCGCTCGCAGCATAGCTGATCAATAGTCAATTAGTCTTTAAATAAACTTTTCTTGTTACTTTGGGGGAGAAGGGGTGTATTATTGTTTAACACTATGACAACCCCTGTCCCTACCCCAAACAAAGCATAACTCAATAACAAAATACATCGGAAATATTTTAAAAGGTTTTTAATGGGGTGTTTCTTTTGGGAAAAGCCAATGTCTGAGTATTTCCAGAAAGGAAAAAAAATCAAAATCTGTCTAGAATTTAAACCATTAAAGTGGCTGTCTGTGTAAAGGTGCTATTTGGGCAACTTTTAGAACTCAACAATCAGGGAAAAGGAAAAGAACAAAAATTAAATATATATATATATATATATATATATATATATATATAGCCAAAGAAATGATAAGATTATGCTGTATATGAATGCTTCTACGTTTATTCCTAATTCATAAGACAGAAATCATGAGACACATTTTCGTGGGAATGGAAAAAGAAGTCCTACCTTCTGTTCTTTTTGATAGATAATTGAAGTGTTATATTTGATAGATAATTGAAGTGTTATATTTGATAGATTATTGAAGTGTTATATTGCAAATTAATTTTGTCCTGGTAGAAGAGAAGTAATAGGGTGGTTTCTTCCCAGAAGTTCTCATGGGTGCTCTGTTCAGTACCAGTTGACCAAATCTCACCCTGCTGAGACAATAGCCTTTGCTGTGCGGACACCAACAGAGACTAACAATGCAGAAAAGTCTAAAATAGAATGTCTCAATTAGCGAAATTCATAGATGTAATGAGACATTCGTGAAGGGAAAAAGTATCACTGTATCCTACGGAATCACTCAAGCCAAAGATTTATGTGTAACTTTGTCAAGAATGGTCTGCAGAATGACTGGCCTGGGTCTCAACTCCCTGGACTGGCCAGTCTCTGAAGACTCTAGCCTGTATGTTTTCTGTTGAACACCTGAGAGTGAATTATACTTCTGGATTCCACCCACCCCTGAGGTTTGCTAAGTTTAAAAGCTACCCATTTGGAAAACCACACATGTGATTGTAGATTTGCATTCCTGTTGCTCCTGAAATAGATCCATGCCTATGTTCAGAAGACTTAGGGAGATTTTATTTAGCATATGTCATTGGATCCTCTTTGAAAGGCGGAACTTAGCTGAGTTCCTGTTTGCAGATGTAGCTAGTTGAGTGTCCATGTTCATTCCCCTTACCTTGTGTTTGTTGCCTGTAGGTACCGCATGTACAGGAAAAGCCAAACAACAGGCTTCCCTTCTCTGATTACAATTTTCTCAGCACCAAATTACTTAGATGTGTACAATAACAAAGGTAAGTGTGAAAACTTGATGGAATTTTAAGTGCTGTGTGCGCTCCTGCTTACACTGATTCTGACTTGACTGTTACCATTTTGTTACCATTCTTCTTTGCTAATCCCTTATAAGATTAAAGAGAGAAAGGGGCTCAGTTGTTCAGAGGTGGCCTTTCTGCACTGCTACTTCTTAGCTATTTTCTAGACTGTATCTGATGTATAATAGAGATGCTATCCTCTCTCTGGTAGAGACAGAGTTTCTTAAAAAAAAAATAGTAATTGCAGGTAACCCAAACTTATGTTTCTTAAAAAGGCTACATGTGTATACTGCCCCTGTTAACTGTGTTTGTTCAGCAAAGTTGTGTCTAGCAAAAGAGAAGTTACAGTTCAAAATTACAATAGGATTTATGGAGCCCGTACCATGAAGTCACATTCTGAGCTGAACAAGTACAGGTTCAATTCTTTAAAAGGAATATTAAGGTTCAAGGTAAATCTTAGCTGGCCCTCTCTGTTTCTATATACAAAGCGAGTGCCTACAGTCAGTTGCCTCTCACGGAGTCCCTCAACCAGAAAGTCATGAACTGAGATGCAACCCACAGTTCTGAACTTGCGTTCTGAAATGCCCTACCTGCTTCCTAGAACAAACAGGGAAGGCAGAGGGCACTATATGCTGGCTGGGACGAAAGGAGACGTGAATGAGTCAAGTCTACCTTCCGCCAGGAAGTTGAGTCCCGATTTTAAAATGGCTTGGTGTGCTATGTGTGTCAGAGCAGGGGACAGAATGTGGAGAAAGGATTAATTAGTAGCCATTGGTCAGGGTATTATGGATGGAATGTCTCTTTAGCAAAAGAGACATCAGTCAAATAACACATGAGGTGAAGAATCGCCCGGGCAGAGCAGGGAAGCAGCGGTACTGTTTCTGAGCGTGTTGGAACTGGAGTTAGAGTAGTGCATGTCTGTCTGTGTGATAGCCATCCTCTCGCTGAAGGGCATCCAGGCCTGGACCCTGACAGTCCTCAGAAGCCAGGGTAGGCCACCTTCCCTTAATAGGACGATTGAATAACGAATAGTGAAAAGCAGAGAGAGGACATTTATTTCCTGTACCCATGTCGCGAACAGGAACAGAGAGATCTAATTAGCCTGCCCTTCCAACTACATCTCTAAGGTCCTGACGTGAAACTTAGGTTGAAATAGAGAGCAAGAGGTATGCATAGTGGAGCCGCTCTGGCCAAGGTGTGGTCCTGGCCATCATTGCCGTCTGGTTCTGACAGTTGTCAGCGCTAAGTAAATTCTCTTTCTAGGATTCTCTTTCTGGCACCACGCTTCAACTTTCTTTTCTTCTACCAGCATGAGATTCCTGGGGGAATTCCAATTTCTTGGGGGCCTATTGTTTCAACACTATAGTAGGGCAAGTGTGGGGCATAAGTCTGCCTTTGAAATACTTTATTCCTGCCAGGATAGTAATGCTCCTCCCCTCCTCCTGTGCATTCTAATGTTACCAGAAATCCTGCTCCAAAAGGCAAAGTGGCCTGTTTTCCTACTGCCCCATGTCTTATCCTGTTCTTCTCTTTGCACACCTGTTTCTCCTGCAGTGAGTGGATACTACCCCCAGACCTTTCTCTCAGCCCTGAGGGTGAAGAAAGCTAGACAGAGTGTGCTATAGCTGCCTAACTGTTTCTGAGGCCACACTGACTACATCAGGCCTCCCTTGAAACTAAGGGCAGAGATATCCATGGACATGGTACAGCCATGTTTCCTAGCAAAGATGTGCTGTCCTTAGAGAGGCAGGAATTCCAGATACAATAAGGCACACCATTTGCATGCTGTGCTCCGAGGCAGTCGTTAAGCAGGATGCTGGGGACACACTGACAGTCTAAACTGTTAATGGGGATCCACAGGAAATGCATTTGGCAAGAAGGAATTTTCTGAATAGCTAGGGAACGTCTTGTTTAAAATTTTGATCTAGACATAAAAGAATCTTCAATTTTTGTAGGAAAGGTATAAAAAGTCAAGGCCAATGAATTTTTTAAAGCAACAAATTTATTTTGAATTAAACTAATAAAAGGTAATTTGTTGCATTAGTTAGATGAAGGTTTTCAACATTTCTCTGGGCGTGGACATTGGCCTGAGCATTTCGCACCACATTCCTGTAATCCGCCTTAAGTATGTGCAGCGTAAATATTGTGCTACAGACTTTCAAAGGTTTTTCTGTTAAGTCTGAGGAACAATAAGAAAGGCACCTGCTTGTCTGTAATGTCAGCCCTTGGGAGGTGATCAAGACTGGAAGGGCATCATTAGCCAGCAATGTCCATACTACCCTATCACAGCCAAACAAGCAAACAGAAAGCACCAAGGAAGAGAATGCCCTCCCAAAACACTTTCATGACATAGTCATTGACAAATAGCACAGACTGCTCTTAGGCACCTCTGAGAGTTAAATAAAACCCAAGGCATTAAAAATGAAGACAGTCGGATGTCATTCCAGAATGCCCTTAGACCCTTCTTCCCATTCTTCCATGTAGCACTATTTTGGGGGGGGCAGAAAACCCCTTCTCCTAAACTGAGTATGTTGCCTCTTGGTGCATGGTCCCTGCGTGACAACCAGGGACTTGAGCACTGGAGAAGGCAGGGATTTGCTGTCTTTGAGATCTGTGTGGCTCTTTAGCTCTTATCTCTCGCTTTGGGTTAGTCACAGTCCTTTGGGGAGAGGAGAAAACTGTTTGCATTTGGGGAACCTTTTCATAAAGCAGAAATTCTCTCAGGAGAAACGAGAGACTGAAAGAGAAAAGAAAGGTGTATTCTTCCATTGGAACATAATGTCAAAAGACTTTTGTGTCAAGTTTCTGGAGCACTTTACAGCTATTATGCTAACAGCTTGTACAGTATACGGGAGTGGGAGTCAATTATTCACTGCTAACAGCGCGGATTGCTTGATTTGAATAGAATCAATGTTAGCTAGAATTTTAAAAAGCCAGGCAACAAAACTGAGTTGCAAGACTTTCAGCCACATAATCGATGGGAGAACAGCGGGGAGGGTTCTGTGAGGTAATCTTCGACGGTTAGAGACGATGGCCACCAAGAACAGTAGTCGCACTATGGTTGGTGAAGCTTCTGCAAAATGAGACAGAACTGACCCTCTCAGTATGAGAGTAATTATTGTGCAACTTTCAAACCAGAGCTAGCGTGGGCCAGACGTGTGTTTAATGTGCAGTTGTGTCCATTCGGAGCTGTTCCTGCCCGCTGTTCGTCACCAGCGTTTGGAAAGTTCGCGAGACAGGAAGGCTCATTCTTTGTTGTCCTCTCATTAGCTCAGCTAGTGTCTGTCCTTTCTTGTCAGCCTTAGCACAGTTACTTCCTCTCCCCTCCCCCTACTCTGTGGGCTCCTGAGAGATGCCTGGGCAAAAGATGGAAGTTCAGATCACCATTATTCCACCGCACACTGACTTCATCTCCATCTGCAGGATATGCAGTGACAGCTCTATAAAGTGAAGGAGAAAACGCTCTTTTGTAAACCATGAATGGAGTTGCTTTACGATTACGGACTGCACAGTACAAAGAGTCCATCATCTCCTCGTATTTTCTGTCGTTCGCTGCCACGTGTTAGTGCACGGACGGCTTCTTAGATACTGTCTTCCCTCGGCTGTTCATGTGCAGGTTCACCACAGATGTTTTAAGCTTTGTGAATTATCTCCCTTCTTCTAAATAACCTGGGAGAGCAAACCTTAGCAGCTTCTCAACTTACTTCCCTGAATAAATTTCAGCTTTGTGTCCACCCTCATGTCTCTCCCCATCTAGAATACTTTGCTTACACCTATGCATTTCACTAGATTAGCTGCATTCATGAGAATGCAATGGGTGCTTCCTGAAGATTTCTCTCTTTGACTATGTGTGAGTCCGACCATAATCTCTTCTGTATAGCACTTACTTTTTTTTCTAATTAGCTCTCTCATGTATTTCAGTCACATGCCAGTCAGATTAACTTTTTGAATCCCAGTGTTTGTAATGTCCATTGTAAGCCACGTTTTTTACCTTTGTTTCAGTTATGTTTCCTATATCTGCAATAAAAAAGAACATAATATCCTGACAAATGCACCTTAAAGGAGAAAGAGTCGTTCTCTTTGGCTCACGGTTTAAAGTTACCGTCCAGCCTAGTCAAGAAGCGCGAGTGATCAGAGCCAAAGGCACCCACTGGCCATGCATCAGCAGTGAAGAACCAGAGCTTAACAAACTCTCACTCTCCCCTTCTAGGACAGCCTAGAAAATGGTGTGAAGCCCAGTGGTCAGTCTTCCACCTCAGCACCTCAGTTAACCTAATCAGTATACTCACCCACAGACTTGCCTGGAACCCATCTCCTAGCGAATTCAGATCTCATCAAGTGAACAGTTGAGATTAAACATCAGTGCCTGGTACATGAGCATGTGCATTGATTAGTACTTGTTCTTTAGAAAAATGCAGTCGTGACAGTCTCATTTTAATCAGTGGCCACCCATAAGAATGACCAACTATATCTAATTACTAACAACACTGAACAAGTTTATATTAGTAATTAGTAGTAATTTACTACTACTGTCTTTTTCTACTACAGTCATTAGCTACGTAGAATGTACCATGCTGCAGGGTATCTGGACTATGTGTTAAACTTGGTCTTTGCCCTAATGTGCCTTGGGCTCTCTTATCATGGTAGACACAGTTAAGTACTTCTTTCAGTAAAGATTTAATATGTTTGAGTAGTGCTATGAGGAAGAGAAAAGCAAAATAGATGAATGGAAATTAATCCATGAAGCCAGCAATAGCTTAACCCAGAAAGAGACAGTTAATAGCAAAATCATTTGTGACTAGCAAAAAGCTGGACCAGATACAAGTGAGGCTTTGGACAATTCAGTTTGACCAAATATTGGAATGAATGTCTGGGGCAAAAAAATAACACTGTGTTTTATACCTTGATAGAAACAGGTGGTCCTTTAGATTCTTAAAGTGTAACTTTCCTTATAGATTAGCCTCTCCCCATCAGTATTGACA